CACACACACACACACAGAGGTGTTCGTGTGGGTAGGTGATCTGATCGTCGCTTTAGCACCTTCAAGTTGTCGGCGGGAAGTTGCCGCATCGGCACCACTGTCAGTACTGTTTGATGAGGGGAAAACCTTGACGCCGCCTGAAGCGAAGACCTTGACGCCTGCATACAGAATACAAGTGTGCAGTGGGCATGAGAACAGGGCCATCCTTCTCACTCTGTTTGGTCTCGCCGAAGCGCTTCGACCCCCTGTACTGCACGCGGCGGCTGCATGAAGAAGGACAGGGTCGCATAGACTGGTCTTTGGTTTCTGTGTTTTTGTGTGTACCGAAGAAGCAGATGACGAGGAGGCGCGCGAGAGCCGTCGTCATTTTCGACCACCGAGGGACAACACACACTGAAGGTGCTCAGAGAAAAGAGAAGCTGAGGACAGAGGCAAAAACGCTGAAAGGAACAAGCAGTGTAGAGCAGGTAGAGACACGTATCAGATTAGGCTGGGAGAAAGAGAGAGCGAGTTGGCGAAAGAAAGGAGGGAAATGACTGGAAGACCTAACGCTTGCACGTTAAAGATCGCCTCTTCCACATCGTACGTCAAACGCACATCGTACATCACGCCCGCGGGAAGGGGTCTGGGCAAGGGGGCAAGATCCGCGCTCGGAGCGCGTTGACGTCGGAGATAGGATCCTAGCTTGAAAGTAAATTCTACATGTGGACTTGGAGTGTCTGCATATGATGAATGTCTCTGTGCGCACACGTGCGTATGCACGAATAGACTTTGGTCACTCAATATCCCCAAAACCCTAAACCCTCAGTCAAGTATGTGTTGAACTCCAGGGTTTTTAGGGTGATAGGGTTTAAAATTTGGCGGCTCGGTTTATTCTAGGGTTTAGGGCTTAAGGTTTAGGGTTGGCTAACCCCACGGCGAAATCTGACCGAGGTAGTTCTAAGCCGCCGACATGGGCGCACCTCGTCGTCGGCAAAATCAACGACCACCGGGGGTGAGGGGACGAGCAGGACGAAGGACCACCTGGCCGGCTGCCTCACACCCGGTGTGTACGTGCGTGCCCACACGAGGAGCTCTCATAGATTCTTGGTACGTGTGTAGGAATGTCAGACAGCGAAGATTGGTACGTCCATACAGTGCGTAGCTCTGTCCACACACGAAGACACAAATCCATGTTCCTCGTCTGTGCCCGTGAGAGGCTCGCATGTTGGAGAAGGTACACATACATAGGTACACACGCACCCTCTCCCACTGGGCCACAGACACCCAGAAATTCACTTGTGCGTATCATCGCCTCCTGCAGGTGATTTGGATGGATGTGGCCCTTGCGTTGCCCCTATCCATGGCCACCATGACGGACCTCATCGACCATTATGCGTATGAACACACACGCCCACCCACAATGAGCACACGGACATGTGTGAATGAATGAATACCCCTTATTATGACATTACCTCTGTCTCTGCCCCCGTCGCTCTACAAAATGACTCTCAGCTACAGAATGCTCAGGTCGCCAGAGACAGCACAGGCGCACTCACTGCACGCGCATGGATGGATGGATGAGTTATTCGTGTGTTTTGTTAGTGCTATGACCACCATGTTTTGCTATGATGGAAGTCATGTGGACGCCCACTCACATATATCAATGCGGTACGTACCTATCGAAAGCGTCAACTTCCTCAGGTACGCACCCACGGACACCCCCACGTGTATGTTTCTCTGTTGCTAGTGGAGGAGCGGCGGCTCTGTCGGCCCCATTCCAAACGCGACACGGATGCATGGTGCCGAAGAATGGCGCACGTAAAGACCACACACACGCACACATCCACACGATCTCTCGGTCGGTGCACGTATGGATGGATGTATGCATGCTTGTGTCGTGTGTGTGTTTGTGGTGTGCAGCGTTCCTGCATTGTCTGCCCCAGCACGACTGACGACAACTGCAAGGAGAGCTGGACAGACTCAACAAAGAGGTACCCGCACACATACACACTCATTGACCGATGCCTGTCTCCATGGATGGATGGATGGATGTGTGCGCGTCTAGGTTGCGGAGTTCGCACGAACAGCTGTCCGAGCAACCACCATCGGCATCAGCAGCATCATGGGTGAGTGAGACACTGAAGCATGGACCCACCCACCCACTCATACACGTGTTGTGTTGGGTATGGATGGATGCGTGTGTCAATCCACCAACGTCCCTGTCGACCGTCCGCGGTACGTCCAGGCGACGCAGGACATGTGCAAGTGTGCATACGTGGCTGTACGTGCATGCTCCTATTCACCTGTGCGGGCAGCCCTCTGGTGCCCGACACGAACATCCCCCCAAAGAAGCACACGCCCAGCAGGTACGCATGCCGACACATGGTGAATGAATGACATCAACGCGTGAGCCCTCATTGTTGTGTGTGTGGGGGGGTGATGGTTGTGGTTCAGCACGGGTGTTGGTGACGAGGAGGGCGGGGGAGTGCAGTCGTCACTCTGGGAAGTCGTACCCAGGTATCCGACACACGGACAGAGACCGATCCGCCGATGCATGAATCTTACCCGTGCAAATGCGCAAATTTCTGCGCTCACTCACACACAGGGACTCGGTGCCCGGCTGTTGGCAGCGCCTGCTGGACGGCCTCTGTCTCACTCACCAGGTGACATATACATCAATCAGTCGCCTGATACGTGGGTATGTATGTGTGTGTGCAGAATTTGCACAGCATGATGCATGCGTCTGATTAAGATGTATCAAGATCCCCCGCAAGCTGTGCGTCAAACTCAATGCGCGAAGGGACCTGCGCGAACTCTTTGGTAAGTCAGCAAAGTGACATGCATCTACACGTGTGTGTTTGGATGGGTGCGTGTGTATTGTGCGCGTGCAGGTGGGTCAGTCACGTGCAGCCACTCACTGCGAAGCAACTTCTCCCAGACGTTTGTTTGGCCTCTTGAAGTACCTGTGTATTACTTGATCGACTTCCGTGCTTTTGAGCAACGAGTCAAGTCACAGCAGGCAGGGCAACACTCAGGCACACTCGTCGTCAAGCTCACACATACATGCACACGCACAGTCACTAACCTCCGCACGCACATTCACACAAAAGGGCACATCGCTCGTGAAGGGCTCTGCTTGATGAAGGGACGCCCTACATGAGCTTCACAACAGATCGACACACAACACAACATATCGACGACACCATAGCGCCGCCCACGGTGAACGGGAGGCGCATACAGCTAGTACCCATGCCTATGCCTTCCGACCAATTGGTGCTGAAAAACCGACACACACAGGAGGCCCGCAGCATCCACGTATGTACACAGGTATTTTGTCATTCATCGGCAACGTTTTTCCTTGACCAATAAAGCAATGAACCATGACAGTAAATGACGGTTGCGTTTGGGCATGCAGATGGCCCAGCCCGCCATGTGAAGAGCAGACTATGAACGTGGCGGGGCGATCCGTACACCCAAAGTATACACACATATAGACAGCTTCCTGAGTGCAAGCGACACTTGTTGCCTCAAAAAACCCAAGACATATCTGCAAGTGGCTGATGTTATCACTCGCAGCCAGACGACGGCAGAAAATCCGATACGACAAGACAACCAGACACCACGCAAAAGCCCCAAGCCCCAACAGGACATATTGCAGTAGACTCGCCACATTCCTCATACACATGTCGATTACACGTGAGTATAATCGACACGTGTGTACACATATGCATGCATATACACAGCTGCCTGAGCAACAATTGTAGCTTCCACCGACACTACGGTTTGTGACAGACTCCACAAAAGGAAAACATGTCTGCAACTGGCCTTCGCTCACAGCCAGATGACGACACATACTAGAAAACACTATGCGACAAGACGGCCACAACACAACGACACTCGCCTTCACAGGAGGTCACAACAAACTTGTCACATGCACGTCTGCCTTTAGTGCCGCAACGCAAGTTGACACCTCACTCGCTCAATCCTCATCATCGATATTGGCTGCTGCCATGGACGCCACCGCATCGTTCACTGCCGAGGCCTCGGCAGAAATAGACACTGTCGTGAGAGCCGCACTGTCCGACCCGTCGCTGCTGAGCCGATTCCAGTCGAGTGGCACGACATGACAATGAGGTCTGAGGGCAGTAGGATGGTCGCTCTGCTGCGATCTTGCGCTGACGGGCGATGAGGCGCCACTGATGTGCACGTCTTTTCCCTCCCCTGATGTCTCTATCATGGTAGGCGCAAGGCTGGCGAGGACCTCGGGGATGGCCTCCTGTAGTAAACAGATCAAGCAATGGCCACCCGTTCGTTCACATTCGTGCTCTCACGTTCACTGACCGGTCGACTGCCCGCCGCGATGAGGGTCCTTTTGGCATTCCTGAATGCCTCGTAGAGCCCTCGCCAGCCGCCACTGTGACGATGGTGCAGCTCACCATCGGCCCTCTCCAGATCACTGCCGTCAGCCCTCCGCAAGGCCGCCTGGTGGTGGTGCTCTCTCGCAATCAGTTCGTCCACCACAAAGCACAAGTTGGCTTGCAGATCGTACAACGTGATGCCTGGCGACACAACAGCGGCCTCCTGCGTGATGCCTGGCGACACAACAGCGGCCTCGCCCCTGACACATAGACGGGATAAGCGTCACAATGACATTAGCAGTGGTCTCAGAGCTGCTTTTGTCTTGGTTACATGTCTGCCAACCCTCCCTCGACCCGACTGTCCCCCAACTGGCCGCACGAGCCATCACCAGATGTCTTGCTGTCTAAGGGGCGAGCTGATACTGCATCCATCGCATGACAAGGTGACCCGGTGTGTTGGACCGCGGTGATAGAGCAAGCTGACCTTTGTTGGAGCACTGGTTGAGGAATGCATATGAGAGGTCGACCGTCTGCATATGCCGCAACCCCTGGCCAACCCGCATCCCGTGAACACTGGCACGCACATGTGGGCGCTTTCTTCATTGTCTTACCATGGTGCTCTCATCATCAGGTCTCGGCAGATGTACGACCGCCTCGTCCCGTCTTCGGCTACGCATCTCTACTAGTTTCTGACGGAGGCTCTGCACCAGAAAGGCATGGCTCCAGAGAAACTCGTGGCTGACCACACACAAACACAGGCACAAAAAGGCGTAGGCATGGAATGTGTGTTTGCTTACAAGTCGCTGGGCACGTGTGTGAGTTTGAGGGTCTCCATCACATCCTGCACCGCAGCGGAGGTCAGCTGCATCGCCGTTATAGCTCGACGCGCTGGCCGTAAAGGCCGACCCAATGTCGGAACAGGGGGGCCATCGACAAACAGAGCCGCGTTGGACCAGTCGTAGAACACCTTAGGCGAGACCCGCCGTCTGTCTTCCTCACGACGAATGAGCCACAACATCAGCGGGCCCATCATACCCCCATACATGACACGAGCTGAGACGACACGACAAGAGCCGAAACACAATTGAAAGTTGGTCCATATCTCACTGCTCGTCGCTCACCGATAGCCTTGCTGCGGTCGAAGACGGCCGTGTATCTGTAACTCATCTGCAGCAGCCAGAAGCGATATACCTCTGCCACAACTGTGACGTAATGCGCCAGATTGGCAGTAATCACCACCAGAACCAACGCGATCGTCAGGATGAAAGAGCCCCCGTCCGCCAGCATGACTAGAAAATGGATAACAAATAACGACATCAGCCACACCAGCAACCCCCGAAGCTCAGTGCGATTCAGAATGTCCATATTGGCGCGGTCGAACGGCCACACAATGAGTTGCAGCACCAGGCACACAGAGGCGACCGCCATCCAGCTAAGCAGCTGTAGGCGGGGCTGCGCTGTCGCCTGCTGTGCAATCAGCAGCACTAATACACGCCTCATGGCCAGCACGGCATCCCAGTAGAAGAACGGCTTCCGATAGCCCACATAGAGGAAGCCCACCCGCCTGCGCGTTTGGTGCTCCTGCAGGCCATCTCTGTGCCACCACAAATAGACCACGCCACACATGACCGCGCCAAACGTCCACACGAGCAGACCAGCCACGGCTATCCACATGAAGGGCGCATGCTCGGCAGACCAGCATATGACTTCCGAGTCGACGTCCATTCTCGGCCGCATGTCATCCGTCGGGTCGGTAGGTAGCAGAGTGATACTCTCGCCTGGCGGGACAGGGATGACAGGGTCCACATAGGGGTAGGGCCGGCAGCGCAGAAGGGCCAGCATGCTCCTGGTCACCGTGGGATATACGAATAAGATGATGACGACCATCATACTGCTCCTGTTGTCAAGCCAATGCCGCCATCTACACCACTTGCGGTGCTCTGCTGAGGTGTGCTGACATGACGGCGGTGTCAGTGGCTCGATCCGAGAGCATTGGAAGCTGATCGGCCGCTGGTGAGGGCCATGTGTGTCAGGCTGCTCTGCCTTGCCATTTCTGAAGGCTGGGGGCGCTGGGGGGCTCGCAGATAAGTGTCAGTCGAACGGTCGCTGCTCCTGCGCCGTCTCGACTTGAATGCACCACGCACTTTGTCAAACGCGCTTGCTGCAGCCATGAACCGAGGCAAAATGACCACAAGGCATCTCCTTCCAGACTGGTGTCCTCACCAATGAGTGGCACAACGGTCAGCCAGACGAGCGGAAGCCCCAGCCACAAAGCATGTCGATAGAGCACGCATCTCTCGCCCACATGTCGCCTCAGCACACACTCCCACACCTGGTAGCTTTGCAAGACCCCTCCATCCCACGCGAAAAACGACCCGATCAGCGACGATATCCGGTCGTTCTCGAGGGACTCGTCGAACACGACAAAGGCCAGACCACCCACCTGCACACACACCGTCACAGCAAAGAGGTTGTGAAAGGTGAGCGCATGTGTCATCTTTCACGTACGGCTGTGATGTGGTAGAGCCCAATTTTGATTAATTGCGACGGCACTTCAGCACGGGGAGAGGAAGCAGCCCTGAACACACAACACAGGTACAGTGCGAACGGACGAGCTTGTGCGATAGACACGTAGATGCGTGCTGACCTTTCCGCGAGTGCTGTGAGGATGAAGATGGCCATCAGAGTTGTGACAACGAACAGCACATTGACCACGATAATCTGCCACAGTGCGGCACATGGTTTGCAGGGCCAACGGGGCGTCTGCCGCGAGAAAGTCGCCTTGCACCGGTTGCACACGAATCCCTCATGCCCTTCCTGAGACACAGAAAGGCACACGTACATACAAAGGCGGCTGCCAGAGAGATGATATATTTCTTACCGAGCATATGTTGAGTCCTGTAGTCTCATTGGTGCCCTGGCATGCCGACTTCACTGGACATTGCATCACTATGGGCAAGCGAGTCAAGCCTTCACCATACCTGATCACAGGAAAGTAGGCACAACTCCTCACATGCATCCCAAGTGTGTGTTCTTACGTTGTCACTTCTCGTGTGGCGTGGGACGAGGCGTCCGATTGAAGCTCGACAGTGAGCTGGAAAAATCCTGGAACGACTGATGCCTTGTAGTTGACAGGTACCGAGCAGTTCACGCCAGGCAGGCAGTCTCGGCAGATCCATGTGCGCCGGCTACCGTCAGTGCCGCCCTTACGCTCCCCGACAGATCCCTCCGTGCACGGCTCGCACGGCTCGTCGCCCCTCTTCTCGTAGCCAAGACGACAGTAACATGCAGCTGACCCCTCGTCAGAACCTGGACAATTAAAGCCAATCGTGTATATAGTCGGAAGCGGTCAAATGCTGCTGACCTGCATCATCGGGACATTGTTCGCAGGTTCGTGTGCCGTCATCTCTCTTGGAGTATGTGTTCCGTGGGCATATGGTACAGTTGGCCCCCGTGCCCTCGTAGCCGGGCAGACAGCGGCACAGCGCATCCGAGTTGATGGTGTAGTCGACCTGTGCGGACACCGAGCACAGTGACTGTACGCGAGCGTCTTTTGCTGGCTGGCTGATCGCTGACCTCAATTTTGTTGAATGTGGAGCAGAACTCGGTGCACTCGAAACGCTCCTCGCCGTTGTCCAACGTCCGCACGACATATCCTGTATCAAGTACGCATAGGCGTCATCACGATGGCAGTGAATGTCTGCGTGTGCTGTGCTACGGTACCCACCCTGCGGATCGGGCACTAGTGGTCTCGGTATCATCTCGCTGAAGTTGTGACGCGAATCCTGACACTTCTGATAGACATACAATCACACACACAGAGGATGATACACCGCCATCGCCTGCAGCGCACACAACCCGCCTTTTCTCACCTCAATCGGTATGGGGTCGACTGAGTCGTACCTCAAGTCTGGGTTCTCCGTGAACCTTGCATGTAGGACGTCGAAAAAACTCCAGTCGCCGCTCGCCACGTCCACGAGCGAGTTGTTGGAAAAGTCGACGTGGTCGAGTGCCAGCTGCACGCCGCCCGTGTCGATGGCCGTGATGCGATTGTCCCTCAGAGACAAAAAAACCAGGCTAGGAAACGACCTACGCATCTGAAACGACCAGATTGAAGGTGTCACCTGCACACACCACACACACGCACACAGGAAAGTCCTCTGCACTTCTCTCCCTCTCTCTCTCTCTCTCTCTCTGTGTGTGTGTGTGTGTGTGTGTATGCGTGTGGCTACCGATATGCCTTGGTCCATGAAAACCTCGAATGCCGTGAAAGCCTCGCAATTCACGGGGCCGTAAAGGCTGCAGTTCGATGCATCCAGCTCCATCAAACTGACGCACACGAGGAGATCACACAGATGCATTCCAGCGATCACACATGTCATGTCTGTGTATTAATGCGTGTGTATATCTTCTTACCTTCTCTGCCATTTGAGGGGCATTAGGAATGCGGTCACGTCTGTGTTGATGGGATTGTTGGAGACGTCCAGGACGGTTAGGCTGCCCCAGTCGGGCGGGGGATCATCCTTCACAATATCCAAGCCTACCGCATCGTCACAGAGAGAACACGACCGCCTGCTCGCCTGTGTATTCCAAGAACTTACTGAGAGAATCCCACTTGCATAATCCTGGTGGTGTCGACCCCCATGTGGGCCACTGGCTGATGCGATTGTTGGCGAGATTCAGCGACAGTAGATTCGGCATGGAGCGGAAGCCCTCCGGCAGGGCAGTCAGCAGGTTGTCCGCCAAACTCAAGTACCACAACCTGACAGGCAAACACCCGTCACTATGTCTTCGTCTCTCTATATGTCGCTTACGATTTGGGCATGGATCCGTTGCCGATGAATCCCGGGATGCGATTGTTCCTGAAACTGGCCTCCACGAGGTTGGGGAACAACGTCAGGTCGATGGACGTGTTAAGACGATTGGAGGCGAGGTCCAGATAACGAACGTTCGGGTACGCCGGGCCACCGGAGGGGCGGTCCAGCATGGCAGTCAGCCTGACGACCGATGCAGCATACATGAAAAGTGTTTGCGTGGGTGTTGCGTGCGCACCGATTGTTGGCTGCTTCGATGGTGGTGAGATTCGGGAAACTGTGGGAACCGAGGGGCAGATAACCCTCAAACTGACATGACACGGAAGCACAGCACATACGCGTACACACACACAGATTTGCCGGCCCCATCGCCTTCCCCCCCTTTAGCTCACCGAGTTGTTGGACACGAACAGGTCTATAAGCGACGTCAAGTTGCTGAGCGGCTCTAGGGAGCCGCTGAAGTTGTTGTTGTACAGATCAAGGACCTCCATGGACTTGCAGCCACCCAACTCAATCGGCAGGGGACCCGACAACTACACAGACAGACATCCATGGAGAGGGAGATCATATGTATGGATTCAGTTATTGATGTATGTCCTTGTGTCGGGATGAGCGTGTGTCGGTATCTACCCTGTTGTTTGCGAGGTCCAGTTTCCGTAGCTTAGACAGCTGTCCCAGCTCTGCTGGTATGGGTGCTGAAGTTAGTGTTGTACAGATCAAGGAACTCCATGGACTTCCAGCCACCCAACTCAATCGGCAGGGGACCCGACAACTACACAGACATCCATGGAGAGGGAGATCCTATGTATGGATTCAGTCATTGATGTCCGTGCGTCGGTATGAGTGTGCGTCGGTATCTACCCTGTTGTCTGCGAGGTTCAGTTGTCGTAGCTTAGACAGTTGTCCCAGCTCTGCTGGTATGGGACCCGACAACTACACAGACAGACATCCATGGAGAGGGAGATCATATGTATGGATTCAGTCAACGGTGTCCGCGTGTCGGTATGAGTGTGTGTCGGTATCTACCGTGTTGTTTCCGAGGTTCAGAAGTCGTAGCTGAGACAGTTGTCCCAGCTCTGCTGGTATGGGGCCGCTGAAGTTATTGTTTTCCAGATCAAGGACCTCCATGGACTTCCAGCCACCCAACTCAATCGGCAAGGGACCCGACAACTACGCAGACATCCATGGAGAGGGAGATCGTATATATGGACTCAGTCGTTGATGTCCGTGTGTGTCGGTGTGAGTGTGTGTCGGTATGTACCCCTTCTAGATATTGTAGGCTGTTCATCTTGCTCTCCAGCCCCTCCGGCAACGGGCCACTGAAACGGTTGTTGGACAGATTGAGTACTCGCAACCGTCTCAGCTGCACCAGTGACCGGGGCAGCTCCCCACTCAGCGAATTGTTCGCCAGCCGCAAATCATCCAAGCGGGACAGGGTACCCAGATCGACAGGCAGAGAGCCCACCAAGCCGGTCTCATCGAGGGCCATTCGCCTCAGGTTGCGGCAAGATGTCACACTGGCCGGGAAGGGCCCCTCCATCCGCTTGTTGCTCCAGATCTCCAGGATCCGCAGCCGGTGGAGTCTGCCGATGTCTTGAGGGATGGGTCCTGAGAGGTCTGTCCTCGCAAGCACAAGAGCTTCGAGGCGCGAGAGGTTCGTGAGGGAGGATGGGATGGGACCGCTGAATGATGAAAGCAGTATGTACAGGCCCTTCAGGTAAGGCAGCTCGCCAATTGTAGTTGGGAGGGGCCCATTCATGCCGTCCTGACATGATAAACAGCATTACAACAAGAATGTGCGTAAGTTAATGTGCGCATCAGTAGATCTAGCTCACCACTATAGACAGGAAGATAGCGCGAAGAGATGTCACTTTCGCGATCTCGTCGCCCAAGCTTCCCTGCATAGGCAGCTGATAGGCTGAGAAGCAAATAATGTGACGGAGCCGATAGAACACATCCGAAAAGACGAAAGGTTTCCAGCCTCGCTGCTGCACGATCAGCGGCACATCCGATATCTCCATATCATCGGCATCCCCACTCAAATCGATGATGTAGCCCTTCCGCGGTCCGCCGTCGGCCAGCGCCTCACTCAGCCGCACACATGTGATGAAGGACACCACGCATAGGTTGTCCTCAAAGATGGACTCTGTCTCGTTGTCCACCAATCCGGCCTCGTAGGACCAGTCGAACAGAGCCGCCGCATCCTCCTGACACGAATCACACCGCTCCAGCTCCTCCATTTCGGTGTAGGGAAGAATGTTGTCGCCATACAGCATTTCATCGGTCTCCGCGTCCACCTCGTCAGCAGGGCGGAAGACGCGAGAGCGTTGCAGGAGCTTCAGCCGCGTGGGGTCACGCCTGCCCGGAGGGAGGGGAGGGGATGCAGCCGTCTGATTGGCGGCCTGGAGCGTACGCCGAAGGGGCGAGGACGCCACGAGCGATGAGCAGAGGGCAACAAGGACGACGGGCGGAAGAATCATTATCGGATGCGGAAACACGCTCATCATCTGCAGATGCTTCTGCCGCGATACGATGAGCGAACGCACCTCTCATCAGCAGATCTGCAGAAAGTCCCATTCCCTGCAGCAGCGGTTTCAGGGAGCACCCTAGGCGGCCTGACGGCCAAGTCCCCTGTCGGTCTGTCCAACATGAAAACACGCACCCGACACGCAACACAGACACGCAACACGCAGAGGGCAGATGCAGCAAACAGGAGGATATGCAATGCGCTGCGAACGACGGCAACATACGGGCAGGCACACAACGTTGCACACGCGCCACCTCAGCAGCAGCTTGAAGGCGGCGTGCGCGCGTGCGTGCTGCACCATGACTCCATACGTAGATACCGCCCATCCCCAGGTGGCCAGCCAGTGCAGATCGCCCAGTCACACACAAACACGCCCGTCTAACAACCACGCACGGGGTGGGGGGGAAAGTCCCATTCCCTTTGGCTAAGCTTGCAGATCTCCCTGTCGCGAGATTTTTCCCATTGCAGGCCATCTGCGGTGAGTCGTGCGGCCACTCACACCCATACTGCGCGTCAGCTCTGCGTAGTTCACTCACTCGTGCGTCTGTATGACCGAGGGTCGGGGGTCTCATCATATGCATGGGGCCCAGTGAGGGAGGGCACTTGAGTACACTTGAGCTAGGAGAGAATTCGAGTAGGAAAAAGGGTTTAAATGGGATGGCGTCAAGCTGGCGTGGCGCAGGCTTAGACAAGTCAATGTGTGCATGAAAATTGACGCACAGCAAGCGTGCAGCACATAGACAGTCAGGTTGCACACCGGCTGGGTGCTCTCCCTTGGGGAGATGCCATGTCACGCGCGTATAGAGGTCGGAAAAAGACAAGGCAGCACAGCACAGAACAGAGGCCTACAGCCAGACATGCACCAAAAAGAGAAATCAGCAGGGACAGCAGCAGGGGCATAGAGACACACAACGGAACGAACACAGCGGGACGAACACACAACGCTGACACACGTCGGACGAACTAAGAAAGTGGTGGAGACGTGAATGAGGTACAGAAGATATGCAGCTGGCCGCCACACCCCTCTGGGGGTGTGGGGCCGGCTGATCACTACAGTCCTACGGCTACCAATGGATGGCCGAGTAGACTCTGTTGGTCAAAAATGGCCTGACGGCAGTGTGGACGTGTGCTTAAAACGGTGTCGCAGCCGTGTGGCCACATGTGGTGCATGTGCTGACTTTCTTGGGCCGACAATTTCAAGAAATCGTGATCGGACAGAGGACACTGAGAACATGCTTGCCAACGGATATACGGCATACACGACATGCACAAGGTCGGTGCGTACTCGACAAATACATATCCTAGCCTTCTCACTCATCCACAAACACGCCTAGATGCCCTTTTATCCTATGCTACAACAGAGAGAGACGATAATTCCCTTGCGCAGCGCATGGACGACGCCTGCGACGATTTCCTTCGCACGCCTACAGCACACACACACACACACACAGAGAGAGAGAGAGAGAGGGAGATTGATTGGCTGCTGTCATGCAGAAACCCAACGCAGAGGCCGCCACTCCATGTGCATCGCTCGCCGCATGCGCGTCAACTCACACTCAGCCCATATGGTCAGTATGACGCATGAAAGGCTTTTCGTGACTGTGAATCGGATCGACTGTGAGCCCTCGTGGCGCTGAGCGGTGGATCCTTTGGGCTGCGGTCACGAGGCGGCGAGATGCTGGTAGACGAGCCAGTCCGAGTGGGCAGCTATCCTGACGGCACACCGATCTTCAGGTTGGATATGGCTGAACACAAAACACACACACATTCACACGTTCTTCCTTGTTGACTTACAGCACTGTGCAGCCATCCACATATACAGCCGCGTGTACTGACCGCACACTCGCCCGAGCCAGTCGACCATCACGTCCATATAGGTATCCCTGACATACATATATATGTCCGCATACACGTGTCCACATGTGTGATGCAGGAGGTCCTTTGTGTCTGCGTTCGCTCCGTATGCGTCCGCACGATACATGATTCCGTACCTGTCCCCGAGAGTGAGGCTGCCACCTGCACTGCCACTGGCACAGACAGAAGATGCGAAAGAAGCACACCTCCGGGCAGCGGTGGCCGCACATTGCACGCGGTGCCGCGAATTGAACAGGGAGTCCAGCGGCAACATAGTGGTCTGGTGTATGAAGGGGCGCGACTACTACATGTGAACAGGCCACACAACTGTGCTGATGCTTTGATCTCTCCTCTCCCTTACGTGATTGCATCGTGCTCCCGCTGCTGTTTGCATGTCTATGTCTGTAGACAGCCAAACACACGTCTTTTTCCGTCCTGCTCTGCTTCTTTCTCTTACAATTAAGTGCCCACCTTCCATCCCTTCTGCTGTCCTGAACACCTGCCTGAGAGATCTGCTGATGTGGCCTCACCCACACCGATAGCAACCATCCAACAGCAAACATCCATGTGTGTGCGGCCGATGCTTGGATCTCTCCTTGCATGACTACGTGGTGCTCTGGCTGCCTGCGTGTACGTATCGGCGCCGCCAAACAGACATCTTTTTGGCCCTGGTACGGTGACATGCCAATTCCCAGTCAAGATGTGTTGAACTCCAGGGTTTTTAGGGTGATAGGGTTAAAATTTGGGGGTTTATTTTAGGGTTTAGGGCTTAGGGTTTAGGGTTGGCTAACCCCACGGCGAAATCTGACCGAGGTGTGTAGTTCTAAGTCGCCGACATTGGGCGCACCTCGTCGTCGGCAAAATCAACGACCACCGGGGAGGGGACAAGGTGGTTTTGGGGGTCACGTGCGGCCCTATGGTTGTGGGTGCAGCACGACCGGGCTGGCGAGCGCTGCACACGCACAAAAGATCAGCCCCGAACAACGTCCCCGTCGAGATTCCTGGGGACTTCAACTCGCCATGAACCCTAGTCTAAGAGGGATCAATCCGACACCAGCACGACCATGAGAGTGTCCTGAACAACATGCGGTTCGCACCTTGTCCGCACGAGTTCAAGATCTCGAGATCTGATCGTCCAAAAAAAACGACGGCCATTCCGCCTCAACCACGACGAATGAGCCCTCGCTGAGACAGCCACATCGACCGGGATGATGCTCTCGTTCATCCATCTCTAGCTATCGACCCCTCCCTCCCTCTCCCTCACCCTGCAGCACCCCACCTGCGTCTGCCGATAACTTCACCCCCTCTTGTACAGCGACCCAAGCCCGCCGGCCCGTCACAACCACACCAGGTACACCTCTCGACACGCCCTATCAGGTGGCACACACAAACCACCGATATCTGACATCTCATCTCACCCATTTTTCCCTTTTCCGTGTGGGCAGATTTCACTTACCCGTGTTTGTCGCGACAACTGCAGCTCCCGCCCAGCTCCCTCCGGCACCACGAGAGAGCCCACTCAATGCACTACACGGTGACCTACGACACATACACGCATACTTTTCACTGTCTTCTCTTCCTCCATCCCCTCCTCAAGGCGATTGTTGGCCGTTTTCTCAGCGATTTGTGGATGCTGCCGGCCTCCTTGTACAGCATGATTGAGACCATCAAAGGCACTATCATCTGAGGTACACACACGAGGCCACACACGGCATCCATATCCGTATATGTACAGACACATTCACATATGTATACACACACACACACACACACATATATATATATGAGCCCTCACTCATTGTGTTGTGCTGTGTGTGCTGTGTGTGGTGTTGGTGTAGATGTAGATGTAGGTGTAGGTGTGGTGTCGTCCTGTCGTTGTGGTGGCTGTTGCCATCGCTTCATTTACTTGAACATGAACGCCCAGCCAGCCCCACAGACCCCATACCAGCACGCGGCACATCCACCGGCACGTCAGCCGACGTGCGGCGGTTCCGCCTCCTCTACACCAAGACCGAGAAGCGCCCGAGCAAGGACTTCCTCAAGCGAAAGAGGGGGACCAGCCACATCCGTACCACGACGTCTTCGCCAACGGCGAGGAGAAGATCTGGTCATTCCTCCGCCGGCCACGCCGATAGCCGATGGCCGACGAGGGTGTGACGCCCATGGCTTTCGCGGCGTTTTTGTGTTTCCTCTACAGCGACAGGTGCATCGTAGACCAGGACACCGTTGAGCCACTGCTCAAGGTACAGCTGGGCAGGTTAAGAGTGGGCGAGGCGAACACACGCACACACAGAGGGAGAATGGGCATGGGTATGCAGTGGTCTCACGAGTACGGGATGGATCGTTTGACGCGTTTGTTTGAGAAGTACGTCATGAAGCGCGTGGAGGTGGACAACGTTATCCTACACATGAGGTGGGCAGGGCAGTTCTACCGGTCAGGCAGGTGAGGTGCCAGGGTGTGGCGGGCACTGCACTGCACCAATGTGTTCGTATCGTGACACACCCACAGGATGGCGCATGTCTATGGCGCCGAGCGCCTGAAGGCCGGCTGCATCAAGGTCCTCATCAGACACTTCAACCACCTCCAGGCACGGCACGGCACACAGACACACGGGCAGCAGCTCGACACACTCGACACCTGTGTGCGTGTGTGTGTGTACGTCTGGTCCAATTGGTCTGGTCTGAAGGCTGAGTTGGGCAAGTCAGGGTTGGAGGCCTATCCCATCCCGAGTTGCTGCGAGATCATCGTCTGGCTGCCTCCCAAATGACTCAGAGCATGGTGGGGTCATGGCACCTTTACCTTACGAGGTAACCCCTGGCACCCATCCCGTCCATGCCCACGCACGTCGCGTCAACCATCCACACACAATGTTATGCACGTGTCTCCCTCCCTTGCCTATGTGTGTGTGTGGCTGTTTGTCTGGTTTCTGCCTGCAACAGGTGATTGCCCCCACCCGGCCCCGCTGCTGCCAGGGGCCACTGGCATGTCGACATCACAGGCCCTGACCTACCCGTCATGTTGCCCCGCCACTCACACATGCCGTACTAGCTGCAGAGAGAGAGGGAGGCGATTTGGCAGTGACCGAGGGAGCAGCAGGCGTCTCAGCAGGTAGAGACCGGTCGGGCTAGATAGAGTGCGGGGTGGTTTGCTGAGAGACGCGGCTGTTCGGGCCTGCTGCACAGTAGATAGATACATAGTCGTCACGTGCAAACGCTGCCTCCATAGATGGATGAATGTGATGTGGCGTGGTGTCGACCGTGTGCGTGCCACACCGTGTAGATGGGTGGATGACCTGACGATGAGGCTTCATTGGTGTGTGTGTTGACGCAACAAACACTTCGATGTGAGCACATCCACGCATTGATTCACGGGTGTCTCACGGGCCATGATTGTATGGGGTGTGTCTCGGGCAGGGCTAAGCTTGCAAGCAACTTCAGAACATCTACCATCTAGCACCTCTCAAGATACAAAGCGACCCTCAAACCTAGAAAGAAGGCTAAATGCCCAATGAATGCACCCATGACACCCATGACCGGCCTATCTGCCTTTCAGCACCCACAAAGAGAGAGAGATAGAGAGAGATAGAGAGAGACGAGAGACAGAGAGAGGCAGACAGACAGCAAACCATCTCTCGTACGTACGGGTGCCCAGACACCAATGCGGCACAACAAACCCATGTGAGCGACAGAATTCCCTCCTCCTCTCTCTGCTCTCTTTGGCTGCCTCTCTCTCTCTCTCTCTCTGCGTGAATGTACGGACGTATGCACTCGGCCGTCAGTCATCACCGAAGCCAATAGCAACACAAATAAGGCGTGCATGCAGATATGAGCAATGGCCTCCCGTCTCCATCCATCCTTCCATCCAGCCAGCCATCCGTCATTCGGCCTTGTAAGCGATCGATCTGGCGCTGCCGGCTGACATGGGACTCCCGATGCTGCCGAGGGTGGCCCTGTGCCGCATTTCCTCCACCACCTGCCGCCCCTGACTGCTGACACCAGCAATTTTCCTCGACGAGGGCGACAACGCCGCGTCATTCTTGTTGACTATCGGGGAGCCGCACTCGTCGCTCGGACTTGGGAAGCCCGAGTCCGGCCCACCACCACTGGGCGACTTGCGGCGGGGGGAGCGGGCGCCGAGATCCGACAGCGGGACGGAGCTCGCAGGGCCTGGCGTCGAGCGCTTGCGGCGCCTGCGGCAACATTCGCAGTTCCACGGTGTGAAGCCTGCAGGCATTGCAACACGTGCGTACACCAAAAATGGGTAGATGAACGAACACGGTTGCGAGTGAGTGAAACACAGGGAGACATGGATGGACCTGGCAGGAAGAGGTTGGGGTATGCCTCCATCGTCAGCAGACCCATGGCGTTGTAACACGCCGACACACCTACACACATGCGAGGCTGGAAGGTAAGGCTGCAGCTCTCTCTCTCTCTCTCTCTCTTTCTCTCTTTCTCTCTTTTTTGTCGCACTCACTTGAGCACATGCCAAACATGGCCGACACGTACTTGAGAGGGACCATGAATCGCGAACCAGCCCCGAAAGCAAACTGCAGGTGGACCAGGGGATCGGTATCAGTTGTCGATACATGCGTATATGTATATGCATATGTGTAAATATAATGTGTATGTAGTGTATATGTATACATACATACCATGAGTGCTGCCGTCCCCAGCGTGATTTGTGCGACGCGCGGCCCGCCGAGGGAGGCCATGAAGAACCCCAATGTCACCACACACCACAGGATGTTGACCACCATGAGCGCTGTGGCACCTGCACGCATCGATACATCCATCCACGCATCCATCCACGCACCCGACCGCACACCCTTACGCCTTTGTGTGTGTGTGTGTGTGTGTGTGTGTGTGAACCGACTAGCTACCTTCGGTGGCGATTGATGCATCTGTTTCTGAGATTTGAGACTCGAGAATGAGGTAGAGCCCCAGACTGATATTCCGGAGCCCGTACGAAGACTGGACGACACCACCAAATCCATTGCCACGCGCAAACTGCGGACAGACATCCCCCAGATACCCACAGTTTGTTTGACACACATCTGCCTGCGTGCATTTGTAGCGTACCATCCACATGCCGGTGAGGAGCTGTCCCATCCCCGAGTGGCAGAGAGTGAATGACGCCACCATCCCGCGTGCGTTCTTCCCAACCTCTATCCAGCCAGCCGACAGACTGGAATTCAGCGCGACAGACAACGAAAAGGCCAGCGAACCCATCGCCGCAGGATTACCTAACGAATGACACAGATGTCGGCCGTGTGCGTGCATGGACATGACAAAGGTCGTACCAAATGTCATTGCTGGTGGGGCTGGCTGCTGCTGCGGTGTCAGCATGACGGGCACCATCTGCAGGTCCTCCCCCGTCATGAGCGTGGCATGCGATCCTCGCCGCCCCTCCTTTCTGCGCCGGACGCTGTGGCTGCTCGTGGTCGCCGGCGAACCTAGCAGCAGCTCCAGTGGGACCTTCCTCTTGTTTTTGCTTTTCCTCTCTTTCTGCTGCTGGCCCTGCTGCTGGTTCTGTGTGGGTGGCGATGTTTTCTGCTGCTCTGGCGACCGCTTTATCATCTGCATCTGCAGGACGCTTGCGTCGGATTGACGGCGGCTGGTGATGTTCCTGGGTACACCGAAGGCCGCCTGAACCACATTGACCTGAGCCGGCTGCTGCAAAGTCAGAACAGCCAATACGCACACACACACAGACACACACACTTTGTAAGCTATGCATATTCTCCTTCACCAGAGAGAGAGAGAGACAGAGACAGAGAGAGGCATACCATATGTGGCGTGCCGAACGCGGACTCTTGGGGAGCCGCTGGCCAGTGTGACCCCTTCTGTTCCGGCGTGGTCTCCGCTGTCCCCTCATCGTCTAGTGCATGCCCCCATTCGAGAGCACCGTCGCTGTCGGCCCTTCTGACACTTGTGAACATCCGCGACAGCGGGCCTGTGTTTTCCCTCGACAACACCCCCACAACTGCAGGGAAGGCCATCGTGTCAGACATGTGAGTTTCGCCTCTCCTCATCAATTTTTCCACCGCTGAAGTCCGTCTGCCACTGCGCTCATGGCCGACGGCCATGGAGGGCTGAGGGCTGAACAGATCCCCGATCACCATGTGCCGTGTGGCTTCGTCATCCGTACGGTTCTCTCGAGCAAGGGAAGCAAGCTGCTTTCGCACCGCAGACGCTTCGATGAATGCTCGAGACTCGCGAATCGGCGGCAGAAAGTTTGAACGCCCGAAGGGGGGTGCCGCTGTCCCGGGCATCTCGATGCCGGAGGAGTCCGACGACTCGCTTCCGTCGTTGCTAAACAAACGGTCGTTGCCGTACACATTGGGTCGCGCCGCATGAACATATGAGTCGGAGAAGCCTGATCACAGTGATTGCGCAACACACTTGCTGAAACGGACAGAAGCTTTTGTTTCGTTACTGAAGGCCTGGGTGGGCTCGCGTCTGCAGCTCTCGCTGTTATGCCCGACGGGGGTTTCGATGTCGTACTGCAGGTCCATTCCTCCCTTCGGTCTCGGTGCACGGGTTCTGAGGTGCGAGCTGGCCCCCACCTGGCCCCCGGTCAAGAGCGGGCAGTGTGTGACCGGAAGCAGAAGGCTATCTTCGGGACGCGTGAATCCGACAAATGAGGCAATTCTATCGACAGGAGCCGCATGCAGATTGTTTCAGCGTCCGGGGTGGAAGCCTCGCCTGCAGAGAAAGGCGTCCTCAGCGTTCACCCTCATTCGCACGGGCAGTGGTCGCCCCTGTGTGGTCATCGTTTCTGTTGGTCCTCTGTCTTGTTCTTTCCAATCGCCTTGTGGCCGGACAGAAGGCTAACCTGACGTTGCTCTCGGTGTGCTCAAGGAGCCCCAAGATCGGCAACATCATGGGGTGGGGAAAAACGCGGCTCAACCAGGCAGCCAGGGCAGATAAAGACGCCACTCATTCCGATCCGTTGTCTGTGTGCTTGTTTGAAGGAAATCGGAGCCCCTTCTTCTGCACGGTATATGCGCCATTGCAGGCCTGCATGATGAAGCACAGTGGTTTTTCCTTTCTGTGTGGCTGCTCGCGCGTGTGTGGATACGTACGTGCGTGTTTTGGATATGTTTTGTAGCTCTGGAGGACATCAACAACCGAACTGATGTGCTGCCGAACCACGACCTTGACATGCTCATCGTCGACTCAGAATGCAACGACGGTACACTACAAGTCAAATCGTTTGTTCGCTATTCATTGGTTGGCTGGTGGGTGTCAGTGATCGGCGCGCTCGTGACTGCCGAGGCGCTCAAGAATGGATCAGACCCTACAAACCCCGGGTCAGCTCCCACACACGAATGGATTGACTGCGTCTTTTGATGTATATACGTACGTTCATGCAGGCCTCCAATTGTGGGCATCATCGGCGACTGCTGCACGTGCGTGGGGCAGACAGGAGGGATGACAAGACCTGACACGGCACGAGACATCGCCTGACCGTGTGACTCTCTGTCACGCAGTCCGGCGTGCTTGACAGAGGCTCCCATCGCCCAGGTGTACAACCTGCTGACCAAGGCCGCCTTCTGCACATCCGGTGTGCTGAGCGACCGAACCGTCTACCCATACTTCACACGCACCGTGCCCACCGCAGCCGAACAGGTCAGCCAATCAGCTGCTCACATGAATGATGAATGACGCTCGGTGCAGAACTTGCTTACTGACGACCTTTTTGGATCGCTTATTCCTTTCCTTTTCAGCTGGTTCAAGCGGTTGGAGAGCTGCTAAAGGAGCTTGAGTTCGTTCGTTTGGCGTACATTGTCCAGGTGAAGCTTGCAGTCAGTAGGATGCCGGCAGCGATCAGAATTGATTGCATCGGTCAGAATGTGGGTCTCTGCATCGAGTACGCGGATGGAATCAAAAGAGAGATGGGAAGGATCAACTCCAACTACGAAGAAATCGAGACCTTCGTCATGGCGGTATGTCACCTGGATGCACCCAGCAACCGCGTGGGTGCATCCGTCCGTTTGTGAATGCATGTCTGCAGGGCCCGACGGAAGAGGTCGCTGACGACATCGTAAGTCAGCTGCCTGGTCTGCGGGTGCATGTCGTGGTCATTTCGGCCTTCGAAGACCACTCATCGCAAATCTTTTGGTGCGTACCGTACCTGCTCCATACCAAGACCTTCAGTGTGACATGCATTGCATGGCTGGATCGTTTCAGCGCCATGCACCGGGCAGGCATGTATGGGCGCAACAGCAGCTTTTACTTCATCTCGCCAACCATGTGGTATGTCAGGAAGGAGGCAGTAAGTGGCTCGAAGCTCACACATACTTCAAAGTGGTTGGCTGGTATGTGCAGGTGGCCGGGTGACTGGATCCGCATTGCAGACCAGAGCAACTTGACCGAATGCAATGCGGATGAACTCCTCGAAGTGAGTCTCAGCCCTCCGGGCAGCGGCGTGGAGGATGCATGGTGTGTGGTGTGGTGTGGTATGGTATGGTATGGTGTGGTGTGGTGTGTCGCAGGCCGCGAACAACTCTATTGGCCTGTCTGTTGCTGGATTCCAATCTGGCTCTGAGAAACACGACCTCGCCAACCGAACACTTGACGAGGTAAAGCACTACAAGCTGAGCCAAGAGAAGAATTCCCTTTTTGTGTCCACGTGTGGAAGTGCGCACTCCAAATTTGATTTTCAGATCCAGGAAATCTATCACGACCTTTGTGACACCACGAGCGACGGTTGTCACTGGGCGGCCAGCTACCTCTACGACGGGCTCTGGTCAGTCAGTCAGTCAGAAATCCGCACGCGGCAGTCCTTTATGTTCGTGGTTGAGTGGGTGAGTGGCTGTGTACATTTGCCAGGCAATACGCATATATGTTTCACGAATGGCTGGAAGAGGAAGGTGGGAATGAGACGGATCTCTATGAAGCCAACGAAACGGTGGCCAACTTCCTTTATAACTACAGCGTCTCCGTGGTCAGTCAAGCACAGAGTGATTGGACATCCATCGCATGGCGCTGAGTGGTGTGGTGTGGTGTGGTGTGCAGCCCTTTCAAGGGACGACCGGCTATGTCAGCTTTCTGAATGGTAGCGGCGACCGCGACGGCCTCTTCGACATCAAACAAATCAGAGTCAGTCAGGGCGGATCAAGTGTGTGTGTGTGTGTATGTATGTCTGTCTGGCTGTCTTTCTCTCATTTCTCACCCGCTCATTCCTATCTGTCTCCTTGCTAATGTGTGCAGCGGACCGATCAGCAAGTCGTGTTGGGAAGCTGGTCGACCCACAACGGCTTCGCGTGGAACAACGACAGCTTTTTCCAGTGGAACGACGGCACCACTTTTTTCCCCGCCAACAAGTCGGGATTCCGTCCCCCCGACCGCCCAAACCCATGTCTAGAGGGGCAATACATCGACTCAAACGTCCGTGAGGCTCTTGCACACTGGAACAGTGAATGGATCCATTCGTCCAGGATTGTGTTGTCGGGTCAGGGCAACTGTCAAGACTGTCTGCCGGGTTCATTCAGTAATGCCAAAGACGAGAGGCTCTGCCAGCTGTGCCAACCGGGACAATACGCAAACGAGACCGCCTCTACCAGCTGCAAAAACTGTGAGGTCAGCGCATCGAAGTCTGCCTTAATCTTGCCTCTTTATTCATTTATACGTTGCTCCTTCTTCATATATCAGGCAGGGACGTACTCGGATGAAGGCGCAGCGATCTGTACGCAATGCAGGCAAGGAAGCCATAAAGACGATCGAACACACAACCCGGCAACAAGTCGTCTGATGCTTCCTCCCTTCGTCCCCGCCTCCGACCCTCCTTCCCTCCCTCCCTCCGTCCCTGTCTGTCTGTCTGTCTGTCTTGCAGTCCTGGTTCGTATCAGGACTTGAAGGGGCAGTCTTCCTGCCTCACGTGTACGCCGGGCACATACTCGGACACAATAGGGGCGCAGACGTGCGAGCAATGTGAAGTGGGGAGCTTCAATCCATACCGCAATGTACGTACAAGACATCGCCCGACGGACAACGGACAGACCGCAGGAGTGTGTCTTTGCACATGCGCGTGTGTATGTACGTGTTGTGAAGGCCACGAGCTGCCAGCCATGCAACGAGACCAAGACCACATTCAGCAGGGGCGAGATCAGCGCGTCAGCCTGCACATGCCCCACGGGATCATACCTGGACTACAAGCACGACAGATGCAGAAGTAAGGAAGACAGTAAGTAACATTTATGGAGACGAAGACATGACATACACATGTATGGAGACGAAGACATGACATACACACATGGTGGGTGGACGGGTGCAGCTTGCGGTGACTACGAGGGTCTCGTGTGCGCCAGAGTGGACATGGAAGAAGGCCACGCCTTGCCGCGCCTCGAGGTCAACTACTTCGCCTTCGTCCTCGGCGACGACTACAACCTCACATTCGATGCGCCATCCGTCTTCCGCTGCCGGGATGAGGGCGCATGCCTCGGTGAGACCCGCACATGAGACACACAGACACTGGCGCATCGGTGTGTGCGCGCAGGGGGCAGCCTTGATCCAGCCCTTCAGGACGACTTCCCCATGTGCGCCGAGGGAAGGGACAGCAAAACTGTCTCCTGCTCGTAAGTCAGCCAGCTGGGAGGGACGGATGTATGTATGTATGTACACACATCTAAGCTAAGCTGCTCGCTGTCCGTCTCTGTGTCTATCCATCAGACTGTGCGGTGACGAGTACTACAAGACGGGCGGTGTGTGCAAACCCTGCGCTCGGAGCGGCACCTCATCAACGGTCATCTTTTGGCTCGTTCTCGTCCTCCTCCTCTTCTTTGGGCTCTTTTTCCACTTCTTCGTAGACACTCGCAGCTGCACGAATGTGCCAAGTGGATGACGTGATGCGAGGGTCTGTCTCTCTGATCATCAGGTGAACTCCCCGATCACTCGCCGCATGGCCGTCACACTCAACATCTCCCTCACTATGGGTATGTCTGAGGCCTCGGCGGTCGATCTGTCCGCGTGCGGAGACACCACACACATGTCACCTGTGTGTGTCTCGCTCAGGCATGATCATCAACTTCATGCAGAGGTAGGGAGGAAGGAAGCGGACTGAGCTGCCGGCCCAACTTCGTCTGTCTGTCTGTATGTCTGTCTGTGGTCAAAGTCTGAGTATCGTTGGCACCTTTAACATCGGCTTCCCGGGCCGCGTCCGCGAGATGTTCAACTGGGCGACCATCTTCGGTCACTCAGCACAGCACACAGGCCCATGCCGCACACACGTTCTGCCAAATGGGGGCCGGACCTCTGCTCATGTGTTGATCTGCTCAGTGCTGGACGTGCAGTTTCTGCGGCCTGGTTGTGTCTTTGGTGACGACCCCTTGACCGACTACATACTGCGGCTGAGCGTGCCACTCTTCCTCACCCTCATCTTCCTCCTCAACTTCCTCATCGCTCAAGGAGCGTACAGAATGATGCGTACGTCAAGGACAGAGAGAGAGAGAGGCATCCATACTCTGTGGCACAGACACACAGTGGATCGGTTGCTGCATGCTGTTCCATTCCATTCATCAGTGCCGCTGTTGGAGCGTTATGGTCTGGTGCAGGAAGCTGCGCCGACACCATTCCTGAGCTTCAAGCCCGTCAAATCGGAGGGGGGTGGGAAAAGGCTGAGTCTCAAGTTCGACAGACAGACGCCAGAGGGCCTCCCGCAGTTCGACTTTGCCAAGAAGATGAAGATGAAGAAAAGCGCATCCATCGCCGTCGTGGGGCGGGAACCACTCAGTGAGCTCAAGAAGCGGCCCAAGCCCATGCAGGTCTTCGGCATTCCCCTCATACGCGAGGGCACTCCGCCGCGTGACGAGCTTATGGTTGAGCGGAAAAAGGCCTTTGCCAAAGAGGACGAGAGAGCCCGGAGGCATATCAACACGGGCAAGTACTTCGAGTCGGTGCTGAACTGGAAAGCCTGGCTCCGGTCCGACGTCATGTCGCTCGACAAAACCATCAACACCATCGGAATGATGATCAACATCCTTGTCAGTCTACACACGCACGGACGCACACACTCACGCGGACTCAGTACAGGTGATCTCGCAACCAATCACCTCTCTCTCTCTCTCTCTCTCTGTGTGTGTGTGTGTGTGTGTGTGTGCAGTACAGTAAGCCAAGCCGTGCGAACGGAAAAACACAGACAAACAGAACGACGGATGGCTTTTTTGCGTGTGTTTCCATCACCAGTTGCCTTTGTCAGCAACGTGTGCGTCATATTCCAGGTCTGTCGCACCCTCGAGGTCTCTGACACACACACATTGTCCCACTCACGTGTCTCTGGCTCCCATCCTCCCTCCCTTCAGTGCTTTGAGCATCCCAACGGTCGGTATACGGTGCGCGAGCACCCCGAGATAACGTGCTTCGACCCAGAGACAGGCTATGGGAAGCGGTGGACCACCACCTACTTGCCGCTGGGCATCTTTGGACTCCTCGTCTACGTGGTACGTCCATGTTAGTGGGGAAGGAAGCCGACCCGCGCACACGTGGCTGGCAGACGGAAACAAACGGACATGGTGGCCGGCCGGCTGGTTGCTCGATTGGCTGTGTGCATACAGATTGGAGTTTTCGTGTATTTCGCCTGGATTAGCTACATCAGCCCCTTCCACTTCGACGAGCCCGGCTTTAGAACACGATACAGGTTCCTGTTCTTCAGGTACGGACACAGACGGAGATAGAGTGACAGCGAACGAACACAAACACGCTCAGGCATTTTCATTTTGTTTGCAGATTCCGTCCGGACGTCTACTGGTGGACACACACACTTACACCTTCTCACAATGCATGAATGGATGTGTAACTTTGTGGTTGGCTGCCTGGTCTGGCTGCATTGCATGAGTGCAGGTGGGGCTCTATACTGCTGTTGCGCAACTGTCTGCTTGCTATGGTGCCCGCGATCGTGCCTAATGGTAATGTACACACCTGACGGTCCCGATCCCGATCCCAGGTGTGCGTCAATGTCATGTCCCATTCATTGTCGCTGCAGATGGCCATCTGCAAATCTTTCTCACCATCTGTCTCCTGCTGATTTTCCTAGGCTTGCAGGTGCGTGGGCCGGCACACAGACGTGCCAACACACATTGTGACGTCCGTGCCTATGTTTCTCTCTTGGCTCCTTTCATTCATGTGTCTCAATCCCAGATATTCTTCTGGCCCTGGCGTAGCGTTCTCAACAACGGTGAGAACGGGAGAGGCCCACCTGCCGTTGTGCATTTCTGTGTGTGTGTGTGTGTGTGGTGTCACGCAGTGATGGATGTGGCCATGATGTTGAGTCTGTCCGTGCTGGCGGCGGCCGGCTTCTATTTCATCGAGAAGAGAGAAGAAAACTCACATGTCAGCGCAAGCCACATGTCAGCCACAGACACGAATGTGTGGTATGTCTGTCTCTGTCTGTCTGTCTGTCTGTCAGATATTTTCCACGATCATTCTGGTGTCGGTGTCGGTTTGCGTCAGCGTGGTGCTCGTGGGCGTCGTACTCCCCCTCTTCACCGAGCACAGCCCACGGCTGCGGCGCGTCTTTGAGGAGAACCTGCTCGGACTCGCATACGACCTCCGAATCGTCCGTCGGCCAGCTGCACACCACGCCATTGGCCGACGATCCGATCCACCAGCTCTTTTGCTGTGTCATATGTGTACGGCTTCGGACTGCAGGTTGGGCGTGCGTGCTCTCGGATGTCAAAGCTGAAGATCATGCGCGAGCTGGAGGAGCTGCCCCAGGCCGACATCTACAAGCTCCGCAGCAGCCTTATCATGCTCAAAATGGAGGTATGCTATGCTAGACAGGGATGTTGATTGCATCCAGTCAATAATACTGACTGATGCCTGTCCATTCCTTGTCCAGGTGGTATCTCAACAAGACTACTTGGCTGCCTTGAGGGACACGGTGGCGCTAAAGAAGCACGGCGACAAGATCAAAAGGCAGACGTCGGTCCAGCTCGATTGGAAGTTCATAAAGGAACGGACCGCAAAGACCAGCGGGTCAGTCACTCACTGGAGAGGAGAGGCAGGTCTGTCTGTCATGGTTGCATCCATTCATCTGCCTGTCTATCTGTCTGTCTGTCTGTCTGTACGTGTGTCATTCACCAGGCGCCTGTCCTTCCGCGGCAGTAACCGTGCATTTAGCGACAGCGCCAAGAGCGACATCGATGAGGAAGAATACCAAGAGGAGATCAGCAGACTCATGCAAAAGGTAAGGTGCCCTGCCCCCTCACTCTCTCCTTCCACGCCACACCACGCATATGTCTTTTCTTTTCCTCACACATCTATCAACAGCAACACTTCCAGTCCCTTAGAACCACGTCGAACATGTCCAAGGGGACTGGCGGCAAGAGCCCGACCATCTACTCGCCCAAGAAGGGAAGCAAGTCGCCCGGGTCGTCCCCCAAGGAGGGCGGCCCCACCTCCGAGCCAGCGTCGCCCGCATCCTGGGTCGGAAGGTGGGTCAACCCACTCTCGCCAAGAAACCGACAGACGCCACCCGACCAGCGGAGACACATCGACCAGAAGCAGCAGCAGCGCACCAAGTAAGTACCGCACGGAAAAGAGAGACACAGAGACACAGAGACACAGAGACATACACGTGTGCATCAATCAGGATGGAGCCCATCGACGAGCATGGGGCTGGTGCGAACCAGAACAATGATCAGAGGCCTTTCTCGGGGTTGCACCCCGAGCAGCCGCGGCTGCCGTTCCTGGCGACCAACGACCAGCCCAGTGTCGCCGCCCCGGCCAGCTCAGTGGGGGGAGATGACGAGATTCCGGAGGATGGACCCGTCAGGGTGGGTCCCCACGTCGGAAGCGAGAGGTCAGATATCATGTCGCCCACGCAGCGGCAACAAATGGAGGAGGCCGAAGAAGAGGAGTTGCAGCTCTATGAGGAGCCTCTCTACGACGAGGCCGACATGCTGTCGCTGGGGCTCGACATCGACGCGGTCGTCATGGAGGCCAGGCAGGACGCGGCGGGTAGTGGCGGGGTCTGACGGACAGCGACGGGCTGGCACGCATCAGGCTAGCGGAGTTTGTGGGTGTGCAAGAAGTAGGCATGATTGTGGACGGATGTACTTTAGGCAAAGGAGATCGATACAAAAGAGGCTTTCAACCGTGAGTGACACATATGATGTGGGTACTATTCTGTATGTGTGTGTGTGTGATTTGGGCCTTGCTCCATCCATCCATCGTGGATGTGCGTGTCGCGTGCAGTGTGCCCAGATGGACGGTCGATGCATTCATTTATCTGTCTGTGCGTGGCGTGGGTGTCACAGTGGCGGTCCAAAGGATAACAAATCGACAGAGTGTTCATTGGGTGGGGGGCGGGGGCATTGCATTGCATAGGGACAGTACACAGACGCGTTAGGGAACACACTGACGACAGGTTGGCCGTCTGTACTGAACTGTTTTCTCGGCGGTCGATCGACAAACACAGATCCGATGGACGTACGCGATGTCCCACACCCCATCGCATCGCCTCAGAGTCTGTGCCTTCCACATCTCTCTACTCCCTTGGTCACAGTAGCTAGTGACCCATCACTCACAGCTTGGCCTCGAGCTGCAGCACCACCGGCGGCCCCCCATGTGCTTCGGGCAGCACTGCCACGCCACAGCCATGTCCATGCCCTGCAGACACCTGATCCTCAGCACACACGAAGAGGCCGATGGCCCCCGTGGACGAGATGTGCCACAGAGTCCCCCGTGTTGGCATCTTCCAGTCTGTAGTTGATCTTTTGGCAGCAATATGGGCTCCTCTTCGTGCACATGAAGCAGGGCGAGCGGAGCCTCAGCGTGTACTGGCCCTGCACACACACACATAAACAAACGCGATTTCTGTCGTGCTGTGCTGTGGTGTGCTGTGCTGCGTGTCTCATGCATTACTCACGGCGGCGTCTTGCAGGGTGAGGGATGGGTGGCAGCACTCATAGGGGTGGGCAATGCTGCCGATCGGCGAACCTGTCCCACAGGGAGACACAGACAGAGAGCGGAGGAGGAGCTGACAGACGCAGGGTGACACGAGCAATACTTGTCTCCGATACTGGTGCATTTGTGAGAGCTGGCGTAGAAACACATATGGAGGAACGCATATGGAAAATGACCTAACTCTGATATAACACAACATCCCGCCTATGTGCAGCGTCGGCATGTATCTCACGAGAAAAGTGCACATGTGTTACACGCCTGTTCAGTACAACACAGGGCAGCAGGCCGTCCACTAGGATTAAATCGCTCTAGGTACGAAAATGACTGACATACAGAAGTAAATCACATTACAGAACACTCGCCACCGCTCCGAGTGCGTGTACGCGTATTTACATCAGCACTCGCTGGTCTACGCGCATGCAGCTCAGCACTCATCCTATTCACAACACACACACACACACACACAGTCCCAGTAAATGTACTGTTTCTGTCTTCCACTGTATTGTCCGTACCTGAGTATTTTGAGGCACGTATAGAATTTGTCGGTGAGTAAGGAATTGTCAAAGCGGGAAAACAAGTACTTCGTCTCACTTGACAAGTCAACCTCTAGAGCAACTTCGTCTAGAGCAACGAAGTTGCTCACATCATCATGGGCATAGAAATCCGGACACTGATGCACAGTCACGTGCGCAAGATTCCCTTCTCTTAGATTGGGTGCTATCTGGGTAGGGCTGACATTGCGAAGGATCTCTTCGCTCTTGACGATGGCTGAGACCTGATGAATGACAAGACACAAACCGACTCAACGCATTTCATACGCATTTCGTGGCCATCATACGCATTTCAGGTCGAATCTGGCGAGTGATGGCGGTAGGGCAACGGGATCCATATTGTCCACGGGCGTCACCGTGAGATTCTGCGCGCACGGCGTCGACAAACATATAAGCTGCTGATTTCGCAGCTTACGCTGAGGTAAGGATCCATAAAGCACTCGACCTTAATCGTCCTCCCTGCACACACGCATCCACACACAGAATCCGACAATGTCACACACTCTTTTCTTAAATGACTACCCGTTCTACAGTTAGCGCACTGCAGCTCCATGCCTTTGACCGCTTCCTGAACTGACACACACTGCGATCTGTTTGTTCCTGATTGATTGACTTCACATCGTCAACTGGTACGTCAGCTTCGTCTCGGCCTGCAGAGGCACGGCCACACACCAGTTCCCCGCACACGTGTCCGTCATCTTTCGTGTGGTTGTGTGTACCTCCTCGCACCGCCGCTTCCAGTCTCTGCATTCGGCCTCTGCCTGCTGACACCGCTGCTTCCACTCATCTCTCTCCCGCTTGTACCAGGCTTGTACTCGTCTCTCTGTCTGCTGATCTCGTCGATGAGCTGTTGCTTGGTCCGCTCATGGCTGGCTATCTCCTGTTGTGTCATCTCCGTGTGCACCACAGTCAAGGCACTCGATGGGGTGTCGGAGAGGGCGTCGTCCTTCATGTTGTTTACCGTTTAGCTGCGAGCTTAGAAGGGCAGACGCCGCTCAAAATCCCTCCGGCGTGTTGGCGGCAGCGCACCGTCGCCATGGGCCTTGGTTGGATGCTCATGCTGCCGCTGCTGCTCTCCGGATCTGTCCTGGTGGCCGAGGCAGATCCGGCACTCAACCTGCAGCTGGCCTATAGGGCCCTTCTGGAACAGAAGCCAGGCCACGGGCACTTCAAGTCGACGTCTGGAGAAGCCCGAGCAGTCGAGCTGCAATCCGGCAACGGTTTGGTTGCGGGGCTGGTTGCCGGATCTTCGGTGCTGTTGACTGTCTTTCTCTTCTTCTGGCACCACAGTGAGTGAGGACACCGAAGCACACACACACTGATCCGATCGAGACAAGCAGGGACATCATCATCCGCTGTGTTGTGCATGCGCCGTCTGTCCGTGTGT